GGCGGAGGCCGCTGGCCCCCTGCTCTGTCGTCTCCCTGCGGCCTGCTCGGACGGCCGCGGGCCGCGGCGCCGTCGGGCGTGCGCGTGGGTCTGTGTCTCGGGAACAGGCGTGCGCGCCGGTTTCGACGTGCCGTTCTCCTTCCCTGCAGTCCGCTCCCTCTCCCCGGGGGCTCACCTCCCCCTTTCCTGTTGGCCGAGTCCCCGGAAGGTTCGGATCCGTGGTCCCCGAGAGATCCCATCCTCCCGCGAGGCCCCCACACCCGCCTGTCAAAGCCGACTCTCGGGGAGATGTTTCAGTTTGATCGCTGACGTGTTCAGGGGGCGCCAGCCTCTGCTTCTCTCTCCCAAGCACCGCTCGTCTGTAACCCTTCGCTCCAACTCGAGCAGAGCAGATGGGTTGAGGTCTTCCCATTGTTTTTGACAGGAGGAGAGTGTCTCTTCCTCTCCCCCCACCCCCCCAGTCTGCTCCAGCTAGATTCGCCCAGTGGGCATCCGGCCCCTTCGGGTTAGGGATCTACGAGTGAGAAAAGTATCTGTTACAGGAATCCGCCCCCTCCCCCAGATCTCAACATCGCCCACGTCCCCAAGGCGGGAGCAGAGAGGCCCCGCCCCGCGTGGGCCCAGGGTCCGGGCAAGCCCTGAGTCTGGCTGCCTGCGGCCTGGGGTCCCTGGGCTCCTCCCCAGCCCCCTCCCCTCGCCCTGCCCAGCTCTGTTTGCTGCAGGCCAGGGCGTGGAGGCCGGGGGCTGGCCACCGTGGGCGCACATCTGAGTCTCCTCCAGAAATAGGGTGCAGGTGGCATCTTAGTCAGCTCCGGCTGCCACACCGGGTGCCGGAGACAGAAGGCCTGAGCAACAGAAACCTACCGCTCCCGGTTCTGGGGGCTGGAAGTCCGAGATCAAGGTGTCCGCGCGGGCGGGGGCTGCAGAGGAACCTTGTCCCCTCTCCCCATGTCTTCACCGGGTGGGGGGACAGCGGAGTGGTCCCCAGCCTCTTCCTCTTCCCAGAGGGGCGCCGGAGCCCGCAAGGGCCCCGCCAGCCTCAGGAGCTGGTCAGGCTCTGAGTGTCTCCCGAAAGCCCCCCCCCCCCCCGTGAACGCCATCCCATGGGGAGTCGGGGCTCCCGGGTGCAGTCTGGGGGAGGCGAGAACATTCGGGGCGCGGCAGGAGGCCAGCGTGCTGGTGTGCGTGGGGTCTGAGGGTCTCCGTCCTCCGGGAGGTGGGCCAGCCTGGAGCTCCGGCCCACGAGCGTCTTCCTCATTCCCGTCCCAGCCTGTTGCCCCCCAGGACAGCCCGGGCAGCACAGCCCGCCTGCACCCCCCACTGACCTCCCCTCCCGGCCCCGCCCCCACCCCCAGCCAGGTGAGCTCCTGCACAACCAACGGGAAGCTGAGGACATCCATCACTCCCGAGGGGGCCTGTGGGTGTGCGGACGGAGGGGCCGGCCGGCACGTGGCCGAACCACGAAGGAGGAGACGCGACTCTGGGGAGAGGAGACAGACAGCCGTGCAGGACGGGGGGCGGACTTGTTTTCTTCCCGAGACTGGAAGCTGACAGCTTCTGGGGACAGTTCTTAATTAAGTCCCTTTGTGTGCAAACCCATTCTCTGACGGAGGATGAAAAGACGAGAGAACAACAAAGGGATCTCTCCGAAGGACGCCAGGGGCAGCGGCTGGGCTGGGGCTGGCCCGCAGCGTGGGGAGGGGCTGGGAGGGGGCTGTGGCGTGACTGTGTCACCCGGGCTCGCGGGGGGCGTGCAGGGGCCCTGGGGGGAGAAGGGGGAGGATCACACAGCACTCAGAGCTGGCTGCTGGGCAGGTGTCTCCCGTCCCCCGGGGCCCGGCCCGCTGCTGCTGCTGCTGCTGCTGCTGCTGCTGCGGCTTTGGAGACAGAAGTCTGAGATGCCCGGAGCTAGTGTGATGAGACAGTTTCAGGTCAGGAACCTGGAGCAGGGCTGGGGAAAGACTGAGTTTGCGGCGGCTGATGGACAGGAAGCTGTGACCTGCATAGAACCTTCCAGACTTCCCGCAGGAGTTTGGCTGGCGAAAGTGGGTGCACCCGTGAAGACAGAGCCTGAGCGGCCGGTGGTCGGGCCGGACCCCGGGCTCAGGCCGCTGCCCCCACTGGCCGTGGGATCCTCGGCAGCCCACCAGCCCTGCAGTGTGGAAGGGGGGTTGCTCCACAAAAAAGTGGCATTGAAAGGCCTGGCTCCTGCGTTTTCCTCCAGCCCCGAATCCCACAGTCCCAGGGCACCAGAAGCCAGTGGGTGACACAGAAGGGGCTTGGTGGCTTCCCGGTAAGCGCCGTGAGCTCAGTGTGGCACTGGGCACGTTCGGGCAGACAGACACGGCAGCTGGAAAGGACGCTTTCGCCACCTGGTGACAAAACTGTGACAACGACTCTGGAAGGCTGCTTGTCCCCCGAGGCCGAGCACGGCGGGGGGGGGGGGGGGGCGCCTGGTGCAGGGTGTCTGCTGGCACAGGGTCCCGGGGGGGGGGCAACGGCACAGCAGGGGCCAGGGTGTGGGTGTCCGCCCTAGAGGGAGGTGCTGGGCGAACCTCGCTGGGGGTGTCCTGGTGTTTGTCACAACCTGCTGTGCAGCTGGTGTTCAGTCGAGCCTTCCTCGTCCCCCTGGTGCCCTGCTCGGTCCCTGGGAGGAGGACAGGGCCCTGCCCTTGCTGGAAAATGGCGGAAGCGGGTGCCGCGGTCTGGCCTCCGGACTGATGCACGGACGGCACAGAGGGGGTCTTCGCTCCCACGCCCCGTTCGCAGGAGGCACGCCCTCTTTGCCCAGCGGGGTGTCTGACCCCCGGGCCCACAGGCGCTGGAGAACAGAGCTTCCCCTCCCGTGCCCAGGGCTCCTCCGGGCCACGTGCCCAGGTCGGACCGGTCCCGAACGTGGATTTGTGGCTGGAGAGTCACCGCGAATGTCCTTCCGTGGTGAGGCGCGCTGTGTCAAGGGCAGGTCGCCACTGGCTGTCAGGAGGCACTGTTATCGTTAGGCGCACCCCCAGGGAAGCTTCTTCGGGGGACAGGGAAGGTTGGAGAAGAGGAAGGGCTGTTTCCCTGACTCCCCAGGCCCCAGCGTGCTTTGGGAGCCCCTGCCGCTGCACCCGGGGAGCGCTCCCCGCAGTGTCCGGAGGCCCTCTGCTCCTGAGCTGCGTGGCGAGGACTCCTCAGCGCGGGGCGTGCCCAGACCCGGGGGCTACGGTGGGGCCAGCTGTTTGCGATCTAAGCAGGTCATGGGAGAGGGCCACCTTCTGCCACAGCCCTAGCTGCGGGAGCCATCTGCCTGCCCCTGGCACCTGGTGGGCGGGGCTCCAGCCATACCTGCGCGGAGGTGAGGGGAGCTGTGAGGAGGGTCCCTGTGACCCAGAATGCCAGGCGGCTGCTCTGAGCCCTGCGTTGTGGCCGGGGCCCAGGCCTGGGCCCCGTGCTGCCGGGGCGGTCTCCTCGGAGGCCCCTCCCTCCTGGGCAGCAAAGGCCCCTCCCTCCTGGGCAGCAGCCACTCTCATTGGCCCCCACGGCCCCAGCCACAGCCAGGCTGGGCTCCAGAGCCCAGCCCACGGGCGGATAGGGGCTGAGCTGGGGGCACTGGGAGCGGGAGGTGGGGTGGTCGGTGGCAGTGGTTCTCAGCTGAGCCACGTGGATGACACCAGGGAGGCTGAGTTGGGAGGCACGTCGGGGTTTAACAGAAAGGGGGTGGGTGACCAGCGCCCCTGCGCTGACACCACAGACGACCCTGGAGGGGGAGGATGTGCGGTGGGTCCAACACAGGCAGGAGCCCGCCCAGCGGTGTCCTGTCCCGGGGGAAGGCCAGCGGTGGGAGCCTTTCCCAGCGCGTGCTGGGCCCTGCAGGCTGCTGCCCGGCGGAGGGGCCGGCCGGGCAGTGAGCTGGGTAGAGCCCGGCACGTCTGTGATGGGGGCCAGGCCGCCAGGGGAGCAGCCCGGGGGGGCTGTCCAGGGGGGGCTCCGCAGGTTGGGGTCGGCGCGACTCCGGGGCCCGGGACTCGAGACCGGAGAGCTCTGCTCTGACAGCTGGGTGCTGGGCCGGGGTCCCGGGACCCTGGTGATCGGACGGGACGCTCGGACGCGGAACCACCTGCCCCCCGTCCAGGCCCCACTTCTGCCTCCGATTGCGGGGTCCCCACGTCCTGTTTCTGCTTTGTCCTGGGCCAGCCCCCGGGGAAGACACACTCGGGTGGTTTTCAGAAGCAGCCGGCCCCGCCCGCCCCGGCCACCGCGGAAGGATCCGGCAGGCCGTGCGCTCTCGGCCTTTGCAGGAATGGCCCCGAGGCTCGACTGGGAAGATCCAGAGGTAGACTCAGGGCCGAGGGCCGCCAAGGACAGCGGGGCCCGGGGAAGCCAGCGCCTGGAGCAGCGGGTCGCACTGGGTGGGGGAGGGTGCTGCCGGCCACCTCGCAGTCTCCGTTTCCTCGTCCGCAGACTCCGCCAGGAATGGTCGTGGGTGCCTCCTCGTTGCCCCGAGGGTTACGTGAGGTCGCGGTCAGACAGCTCCTGGCCAGGGGCCCGGCCCAGAGGGGTGTCGCGGCGTCCCCCGCGCGCCCTTCTCCCTGCGTTCCTAGTCCGCGGTGCTCCTGAGTCGGACGCGGGGGCTGTCCAGGCTGGGCTGGGTGGCACCGGGCAGGTCTGGGAAAGGGGATGTGTCCGCCTGGTGAGCGGCTGGGCGAGGGCCCATGGGACGTGTTATTTCTTTGATATTTCAACAAAAGCCTTTCCTTCAAAACCCCAGTGCGTGGATCACTAAGACCGCTGCCACCTGGCGCTCAGAGGGGCCCTGTGGCCCGTCCCCTGCGGGGCCCGAGGGGGCTTCCTGACCCCGGGACCCTGTGTCCGCGATTTGAAAACCACTTGGCTGGGTAATTTTTTTATGTCCCCAGGACCCTGGGAACCACCACGCGTGTGGGGCGGGGGCGGGGCGGGGCCGCGACCCTGGGCGGCAAGGACGGGACGCGCTGTCTGACCGTGGGCTTCTGTTCCAGGTGTCCCCCTGCGAGAGGTGCCGCTGCGAGGCCAACGGGGAGGTGCTGTGCTCCGTGTCCGCGTGTCCCCAGACGGAGTGCGTGGACCCCGTGTACGAGCCCGACCAGTGCTGCCCCGTCTGCAGGAACGGTAGGTGGGCCGCAGCCCCGCCCCTGCAGGCCGCGGGCACGTGACAGAGCCGCGGGCGGGCGGGCGGGCGGGCGGGCCCCGCCACTGCAGACCGCGGGCACGTGGCAGAGCCGCGGGCGGGCGGGCGGGCGGGCGGGCGGGCCGGGCCCCGCCACTGCAGACTGCGGGCACGTGGCAGAGCCGCGGGCGGGCGGGCCGGGCCCCGCGCCCAGGTGCGCGTGGGCGTGGCCGCCAGGGGCCCCGCGACCGTGGGGAGCTGCGCTGTGGTGAGGCGGGGGTCCTCGGGTGGGTGTGGCACGGGCCCCACAAAGTTCCCTGGGGAGGAATTCAGTTCCCACCTTTGGGGAGAGTTGCTTGTTTTAACTGAACTGTGTTTGTTCTCGCAAAGCAGCTCTTCTCTCTCCCAGACACGTCAGCCGTGCCGGCCGGGTTCATTTACTTTTCATTACGAAGCAAATTAAAACTTGAAACGTAATTGAATATTCTTCACAGGCAAATTAGGCAGGAAGAGGGCCCCCTCCCCTCCCAGGGAGCGCCCGGGGCAGATCAAAGCGGAGTCTGCTCCGGGAACAGGGCTGGCAGGACGTCCTTGACCACGGTTGACAAAGGGGGCACTTCCACGTCTGAATAACGAGAACCAGCCCTTTCATCTGAAGCTCAAGTGCCTCTGGGCCCCACACTCTGAGAGGATCTTTGACAGGCGTGTGCTCCCCGGGAGAAGGGGCCCAGGAGCGAAGGCGGGCAGAGGGGGGTGGGGGGGCAGTTTGGGAAAGCCCATGGGTGCGCCTTGGGGGAGCGCCGGGTGTGGGGACGCGGCCGGGTCTTCAGTCTTCACGCACGTGAGTGTCTTCCCCAGTGAGAGGGGTGGGCCGGCTCCGCACAGCCGCTGGGCCCGGTGCAGGGACTTGGCGGGAGCCACGGGTCGGCTCCGAGAGATGCGAGCAGTCCCCAGCCTGGGCCCCTCCGAGACGGGGTGGGCTGACCTGCGGGCCCTGCCGCTCCTCATGGGCAGGGTCGCCAGCCCAAGGTGGGTGGCCCTGTGCTGTGGACTCTGGAAGTGGCGGACGGTCACCCGGGTTGTTAGGAGCATCCGAGACATTCCTGAGGTTCTGCCCTTGAGCCAGTTAAAGTGGGGTGGGCCGTGGGCGGCACAGGTGCCTCTCCCCAGGGGCACGCAGGAGCCCAGGCTGCCCCACGGCAGCGGTCCGGGAGCTCCTCTGCGGGCTGGCTGCCCCTTGGGGGTGTTAGTGGGAAAGAGGGACGCCGTGAGGTGCGGCCCCTGGGGCTGCGCGGGCAGGTCAGTGTGGACGGGGCTCTTCCGAACACACTCGCAGCCCTGGCCGCGGCCTGGCCGGCCTCCGTGTACTTCGAGGGGTGTCAGGACGGACTGACAGCGGGAGGAGGACTTGGGTTCGGGAAGGAGAGGCGTGCGGAGCAGCTGGCGGTGTGTCGCTGCGGCTGGGGTGGGCGAGCCCGCCGAGCAGCCCACGGAGCTGCGTCCTGTGCGCGGTGACAGCATACGGTGGGCGGACAGCTCACGCCCTGCCCGAGGGTGCGGGTGGACAGAGAGGCTCTCAGTGAGCCCAAGGGCGTTCGGTGAGTGGCTCAGACACGGGGCACTCCCACGTCGGGCGTCTCCAGGGTCCAGGACACTGCGTGTTCTCGTCCGCTACGGTGAGAGGCAGCGCTTTGGCGTCCGATGGGCGGGGAGTCCTCGCTCGGATGTTTACAAAGACGGGAGACGTGGCCTCACTCCCTGAGGGCTCTCTCAGCCCTAAAACGCTGCGGCAGTTGCGGGCCCGCGGAGGAGCCGAAGGAGCTGTCCCGTGAACAGCTGTGCGCCCCTCGCTGTGTGTGCCTGCGGTCAGCGTGCCACCGCGTCCGCCTTGCCTCCCTCGCCCTCTGTCCCCCGGGGCTCCCTGTGTCTCCCCGTCACGACTGGCACCACCTCTGTGCCCACTCACGGTCTCCCACAGATCTCACAGGGTGCCGCCTCTTGACTCCCCCCGCACGACACCCCCTGAGGAAGCTCCGGACGTCTCCGCACTTACGTTTGCTCTCGGGGTAGATTCCTCTCGGGGTCTAGGGTCGGGTAGCTGTGTCAGGAACTACTGGAATTCCTGTTTTAAAGATTTATTTATTTATTTTTAGAGAATGGGGAAGGGAGGGAGAAAGAGAGGGAGAGAAACATCCATGTGTGGTTGCCTCTCAAGCTCCCCCTACTGGGGACCTGGCCCACAACCCAGACATGGACTCTGACTGGGAATCGAACCGGTGACCCTTTGGTTCCCAGGCCAGGGCTCAATCCACTGAGCCACACCAGCCAAGGGCTGGAATTAATTCCTTATCGTGTGTGGATAGGCTAACATTTTGTAAGGACTTAAACTCGCGTATTTCCATTTGTAGTCAGTTTATGTCATAAAGATGTGATTTTTTTGAATAAGCAAAACACGTTTGAAAGCGCCGTTTGTATGAATAAGGTCTACTCCGAAACTCGCGGGACGTTTACCCCAGGCGCTGACGGTGTGGAGAGAGAGGAAGTGGTTCTTGCCCGGAGATCAAACTCCCAGAGGCTGTCCCGTGGCTGCTGTCCTTTGAGGAAGAGCAGGGGTGAAGGAAAGGGGGGTTGGGTGCCTTATTAGGAGGATGGGGCCCCGGCTGATGTGGCCCACTGGACTGAGTGCCAGCCTGAGACACAGATGGTCGCCAGTTCGATTCCCAGTCAGGGAACGTGCCTAGGATGCAGGCCAGGTGCCCAGTAGGGGACGCTCGAGAGACAACCACACATGGATGTTTCTCTCCCTCTCTCTTTTCCTCCCTTCCCCCTCTCTAGAAATAAACAAATAAAAATTTCTAAAGAAGGAAGATGGGTAGTTTTAAAAAAAACTGTGTTCGAGAAGGATTACAGATTACAGAAGGATTTGTATTAAAAGGTTTGACCTAATGCCATCATAGTGTCAACAGCCTCAAATGTTCAGGACGACGACGACGACCAGGAACGAACCTCAGTGTGTCCATGCTCGTCCGTCCCGTTGAGTCTCGTGAGAACGTGCTCAGCAGAGAGCCGTCGGCGTTCAGCCGTCTCCGGTTATCGAGTGTTCTGACCTTGGGGGGGCACACGGCGTCTGGGATTCTTAGTAAAATATCTATCTGCTCGGGAAATGAAAACAGCTTCCATCAGCACCGAATGCTCGGCAGTAACCAACCAAACAATTTATGGCGGTCCCACCGTGCCCCTCACACACACACACACACGTTTTCGTGAAAAAACAACTACATGTTTGATAGATCGCAGACTTTGAGACACCCAGAACGGTGCCCAGTGTGAGATTAAATGCTCGGGCAGGCGGAGCGTGGACGGACTGTGAAGGGTGTTACCTGCTGACCTCGGGGCCGGGACTGACCCCCACACTCGGAGCTCTGGGCCTGGGGCGCTAGGCAGCTCCCCCTCCCGACAGGAGGAAAATTGCCGCCCGGCTGCCAGCTGCCAGAGTCACTCCCCTCAAAGCAGCGAAAGAAAGCCGGAGCCCGAGAATGCCCGGAATATAAATAAATGATCACCGACGAAACACAGCGTAATGTATTCACTGTGTTGACTCGCACGGCTTGATCTCACCCTGACTCCTGTTTGGTAGGAAGGACGTTTGGGGGCACGCCTGCCTTTTCTGTTATTGTTATTGTCCTCAGTTACAGGAAGGGGGGGGGCATTACACCGACTTCCGAGGTGTCGGGTTCTCTCTGGGGATGGGCTCAGCGGCGCGGTGGGGAGATTCCTTCAGCTGCCCCTCCGCCCTCGGGGCCCTGGGAGTGGGGGAGAGCTGGTCTTCGTTCTGCGAGTGCCCCCGGTGGCGCCATGGTCTGCGCGCCGGGCCGGGAGCCGGGGGTGGGGCGTGCTGCGGGGCCGAACCCGACCAGCGAGCGCACACTAGGACATCACTGGGGTTCACGGTGGCCCCCGGACACCCCGGCGACGAGCACTGTGCACCCCCCTCCGGCCTCGGTGCCGCCCGGGGGCCGTCAGTCTCAGGTTCATTTCCACGGGAAGCGAGTGTGGCCGTGCTGTTGGAGGACCGTGGAAACTCTTCTAACGTTTTAGAGATAAACACCGAGAACCCACAATATTAGAAGCAGCCGTGTGGGCAATGTGTGAGACGCACCAGATAGGGTTGTTCGGTTTTCCTTTCAAGGAGCAGATAAGAGGATGATTAAATTGCAGGTAGTGGACACACTGCAGTGCGGGGTGTGTCTGAGCGTGTGTGTGTGTGCATACACACGTGTGTGGCTCACACGCGACCCTGCTCACGAGGGAAGGCCGGCTCCCGTTCGGCCTCGCTGTGGGGTCTCCCTGAAGCTGCAGCCGCCGCCCAGCGGGCCACACTGCTGGCAGTGCACGGCGGCAGCCCACGTGCTCGGGAAAGGTGCATGCAGTGTGCGCGTGTGCTCCGTGACTGAGTGCGCCCAACCCGCCACACACGGGGGAGCGACGAGGGAGGAAGGGGAATCTCGTGGGCCGCCCCCTCCCTCTGGGCCCCGGGGGCCTGCTCCTGGACCCGCCGCTCAGAGGACGCGCTTTCCGGCTCAAAGCAGGGCCGCTCTGCGACAGGGCTTGTCCTCGGTGCGGAGACGTGCGAAACATTTAAAAAGAAACGGACTCCCTGCTTTAGAGAAATTAGCTCGGGGTTAATCCGAATTAGATAGAGATACGTTGAGGTGCGTATTTTCATTCTAGAACAATCACTAAGGACGTCGCCGGGGGAGGTTCACACGGCACAGGGTTCGCTTTGTATCCTGACGCGGGAACCGTGGGTGCGACGTGACTCAGCGTGCTCTTCCGTTCTTTTGTTGAACTTGTGGTCCTCGTTCCAGTTTTTTGGAGAGGAGCGTGTGCATGTGTGTGTGTGTGTGTATACACGCACGTGCACGTGTATGTTGCTTTTGTACGGCAGTGAGGCCCTCGCTACCAGCTTCACCGCGGTGCAGAGAGAAACGGCCCTCGTGGT